TGTTTTCCACTATGTGCATCCGATGAAGTGAGCTGTAGCTCATGAAAGTTTATGCTCAAATAAATTTGTTAGTCTGTAAGGTGCCACAAGTACTCCTTTTCTTTTTGCAGATACAGACTAACATAGTTGTTACTCTGAAACATGTAGATTTAAGAAGCTATTTTGTTCTCATTCTACCTGCAGAATTTTCATTAATGTCAATGGGAGATTTTCACAAGAATCAAGGATAAATATAGTGCAAGTTTTCTTACATTTTAAACCCATTGTTCTCCAGGCTCTAACTTTCCTTTATGTATTTGTTATTTATTATTTTTTTATGCTAGTGCCTAGAGGCCTCAGCTGACCTTGAGGCCCACTGCACAAGGCACTATTTGAAGTCCCTGAAGAGTTTACAGTCTAAAAGAGACAGACAAAGGGTGGATGGAAAACAGAGGCACAAAAAGAAGTGACTTGGGCAAGGTCACTGGAAAGAGCCAAGATCACTGGAAAGAGCCAAGAACAGAACAGAGCTCTCCTAGGTATCAGCCTAGTGTTATATCCATTAGACCATGCACTGCCTCATACCACACTTAATTATGCATGCAACAATTTCTAATGTGGAAGATGAAAGTGACAAACAGAAATGGTTCAGATTTGAACCACTGTACCTGCTAATACAAATGTTTGTAAATCTTTACCCTGCAGTTGTAAGCAGTAATCAAACCAGCACCTTGCTAAGCTCTCTGGCCCTCCACCCAAAGGGACTGCTTCTTACTGCTTCATGAAAATGGAGAAGCAGAATTAGTTTCACTTTCCTATTCCTTATTACAAGCTCAGTAGAAAAGTGGAAACAAGATTCCTTATTAATTTAATTTTGTATTCAGCATTAGATGCATGCAAACAAAAGTGACAAGAACTTGACAATTACATTTCAGGGTGGTGGCAATTGTGAAAAAGGATGATTAAAAGCTTCCAGGAAGAGGAGGAGAACCAATAAAAGAGAAAGCAAAAAATGCAAAGAGGGCAACAGGCATGCTTGAACAAAAAAGCGCCTCTTTCTCCCTGAGGTATTTCTAAGGCGTCTAGCCCTGTGGCACTAAAATCAATAACTGCCAACTCCAGCTCAAGGCAACTGTAGCCTTTATTAGCTCTACAGTTCTTAATAAGAAATGCCAACTTCCTGCCACCTATTGTGAACAAGATCTAGAAACTTGTTAGAGTCACCATTTTTATCAGGTCTTAACACCTTTATCTGCCCTTGCTAAGGTATGTTACATTTTACCATGGAAGTATAGAGATGAAAAGAGATTACCAATGCAGAATCAACACAAGTGAGGCAAGTAATGCTGTTAGAATTATTTCAGTTCCACATTTTCACTAACAAAGGGTATCATTCTCACACGAATAGTCTGCACTAGGTCATTCAGAAAGCATCCACTGATAGAAAAATGTTAGTGCTATTTTCTTATAAGAGTCTTTTCTGCATTAACTGATTCCTACAGCCTATAGTTTTAAAATTCTAAAGCACACAGGTATGCAGTTTAAGACATTGAAATATCAAAGATACACAGCCAGAATCCATCTGCTTGCAGTTGCATTAATGAAAAATAGAACTGCTGTCCATATTCTTTCCTAGATTTACTGAATTTTAGATAAGCAGTCTTGCAGTCTCTCTTTTTACTTTATGTTTCCCCACTCAAGCAACCAGTTCTGTGCCATTCAGATTCTACCATTAACACTAAATCAGGCCTACACTGCAAATTTCTTTTGGATTTTCAGGAACAGACCAAACTGTTTTGTGATAAGGGTTGGATTTTTCCTTCCACTATTAGAGAACATTTATTACCACTTCTCAAAGTGCGTATATTGAAGAGTTTACTATCTAAATCAAGTTACTCATGAAAGTTATTATAGACAATTATATGACTTGTGTCTATGCATTCCCTCAGAATTATATACGCAAACCAATTACTACCATTTGAGCAAACATCCTCCCTCAACAGATGATGCAGCCCAGAAGACCAAATTAGTGACTCTAGATACATTTGTAATAGGTCTCATCATCACCTATTCTGAAACATCCCCATCAGACTAAGGGAAATGATTAACAGAGATGAGCCTAAACACATTGGATAGTGTGCTATATTAATTGCAGGCCACAATTTAACAGGAAAAAGAAGGTCTATCAGACTTTACACAGTTAGAACAATCATTTTCATTTGTGGTAACAGAACAACAATTGTGGTAACAGAATACCTACACAGGTTTTGCTAATTTTTAATTGGCATTTTTATCAAAATACAGTTACACATCACACTAATGTTATCAGAGTCTTAATCAGACCCTATAAAGGAAAGGTTTATTGCGAGAACTCAGATACGCTCTCCTCAAGACTTTAAAGCAGCCAAGGAAGCTGCAACTTGGATTTAAAAACAAACAAAAACAAATTAACTAACAGCTTCATTGCCAGTATCACCTCCCAGCCCCTGCAACAATGAACAGTTTCTACAGACTACCCAGATAAACTAATAGGAGTGTTTGATAAAAGACCTCTAAAAGTTTTCACTTTAAACCCCCTGAAATACAGTTTATAAAGCAGTTCACCATGACAGCATGCAAAATATCGGCAGGCACTTCTGGTTAAGGCTTTTTAGGGTATTGAACTAGATTTTTTTCCTGGTTTCAGGTGTTTTTGAAGTCTGTGTAGACAACTCAGACATTTAATAAGACCAGTAGGCCAATATGGACCTTTTTTATATGATTAGTTAAAAACTGAAGGCACTCAGCATGAAAATATTATCACAATCAAACTTGTCTCCTGATCATGCACTCATTTAGCCTCATGCTACTCTACTGAGGAAGGTTACACACGGGCTTAAATGTTTACAAGATCTGGGCCTTACCGATCTCTTTATGTTTAGTGTTAACATTGCTGAGTCAGTTTAATAATATGACTAAATAAACCAAAAAGGCACTTTTGTAAAGTTTTGATTATATCTTGAAAAAAATCAATATTACTGTCATTAAGAACTTACCTCTGATGTGGCTACTCCAATTTGCTCAGATTCATAAATGAGGGAAAGAGATCTATTAGTGCTGTCCTCTGTGGCCTGAGCCCGCCTCAGAACTTCCTGCTGAAGATACCTCTGTTTATTTGTAGCCTCCCTATGTTGCCTGTCAGTAGGGTCATCAAAGATATCATTTCCATTGTTCCACTTGACTGGCTTCAAACCTTCATCATCATCATCATCAAAGGGATTATAGTTTTTTGTGTAAGATGACATAATGCCAGTGTGTGTTTTCTCCCTTTGCTATAGTGTGAGTGAAACTAGAGAAAAGTGAGGTTGGAGTCACACTGGCATTCCCAGGGCCTACAGCAATTGTTCAGAGGGATTGAACCTCAACAGAATGAAAAATCTTTACCTGTAAAGGAAACAGTTTTTATTTATCTTTAGAACACTGAGTTAAGAAAAATTGTTCACTAAGGTATAAAAATATAAGCTGTGATATGAACCACAGAAGATACATAAGGGAGAGAGGAGCAAATACATTTTTATATCTGGGTGGGAAATTGCATCTTGGTATTTCCGTTCTTTCCCCCGGTATAACAAACTCTGCATCTGGGACACAATGGATCTCTCCATTGCACGGTAAAACTCATCTGTGCAGGCAACTGCAAATTCTCAAGGGCTAGTTCAAGACTGTGGAACAGACTCCCACAGGATCTACAAGCCATCATAGATCGCACTACCTTCTGTTTCAAGCGTCACAGGTACTTATTTAACGTTGCTTTTGCTAATACTGACTCACAGCACAGCGTACGTATCATTTATCAAACAAAACATTACACTGCCCATTTAATTTTCCCCTGGGAAAGAGGATGAGAGAAAGAATGAGCCACACTTGACAAATATTAGTCACGTTGCTCAACACATTACTACAGGGTGCTCGGATACTATGGTGAGGAGGCAATATAGGAACCTGTAGGGAACAGACTCAACAAATCACTGCAGATTTAACTCTCCTTTGCGAGGAGGGGGAGGGCGGGGAAAGGAGTCAGCATTCCCCTTCGACAATCATTCAAGTAACTCCAGACACAAAGCTACTGCAGTTGCCCGGGCATCCACCCCTCGTGTTCATGGATACCACGAGCCAGCTAAAGCCCCCCCCGCCCATAGGGAGCCCCCTGCTCTCTAGCCCCTGCCTTCTCCTCCCGGACCCGCCGCACGGCAGATGGGAGAGCCTTCTCCTCGGCAGCTTCCCGGTCGCGGCCCAGACCCCCCGCGCTGCGGCGCCGCGGGCCGCTCTCAACCATGACGCCGCAGGGGGACACACTCCTCAGGCACGGGCCGCCCCCGGGGGGTGGGTGTATCCTCGCCCCGCGCTGCTCGGCACCGGGCCTGAGCGGGGGGGCCTGAGCCCCGGACAGACGCGGCGGGGTCCCCCCCCCGTCGCCCATCGGGGGAGCCCCACGCCCCTTCCGTCCCCGAGACGCCCCCACTCCTGCCGCTCCGGGGAGCCGGGACACCGGCCCTCGCAGGGGCCCTGGGACCTCCTGGCCTCGCTCCCGCGCTGAGGGGCCGGAGCCGCGCCGCGCGCGCCAGCCCCCACTCACCAGCTGCCGCCCGCCAGCGACCCCGCCGCCCGCCTGAGCGGTGCCAACACCCGCCGGGCTCCTCCACCCCGTGACTACTGGCTTAAACCATCGCTGCCCCTTGCGCAGGGGAAGCGGCTGGGAGAAACTATCATGACTCGCTGTTGAGGGGGTGTGTGTATGTGTATGTGACGGGGAAGCGGGCGGCTATGGAACCTGCAGGCCGGGGCTAGGATAATCCATTTCCAGCACTCGAGTGGGGGGTATAGTTTGAGAGTTGGGATAATCCATTGCCCGTGAGAGGATGGGTATCCAGCCCGGAAGTGAAGTCAACGTAGGCGCCGCCATATGTGTTACCTGATTGGAGCCCGGCGCTCCCGCGGGGAGTGGGGGATGCTCGCGAGAGGAGTGGTGAGGGAGTGGATAACATCGTAGGGTGCGCTCCGCCCTGCCCTGCGGCGCGCCCGCAACATGTCGGCCCCGGCGGTGGCGGCTCCTGCCGCGTCTGCCGGGCGGGGAAGCGGCTCCGGCTCCTCGCGGGGCTTTTACTTCAACACGGTGCTGTCGCTGTCCCGCTCGCTGGCCGTGCAGAGACCCGCTCCCCTGGAGAAGGTAACGGGGTCGCCTTTGCGCCTCCCATCCCTCTTGGGGCGGCAGGTGTCCTGCCGGTGGGGCGCCAGGGCGTGTCCCGAATGTGAGCTGTACGTCATGTCTGTGGGGTAGCGTGTGCCCCTTGTGGGGGGCCCGTGTCCTGCGTGGAGCGCGCTGCGCGCCCTGTGGTAGGTGTTTCATGCCTGGGGGTGTCCTACGTGTGGGGGACGTGCGTCGTGTGAGGCAGCGGGTGTGTCATGCCTGGGGGTGGAGCCCGTGTGTCGCGGAGTGTCAAGGTTTGTGTGTGTGGACGCTGGATCTATGCGTGATGTTTGTGTGGCTCACCTGGAGGGAAACCAAGCTAAGAGCTTGACTGACATTGGTTTCAGGTTATGAACGTTGATGAATGTTCAAGAAGATTTTAAAAATATCCCGGTGGTTTTGTTTTTGAAGAACAGTTGTCCTAACAACCTGCTGAGAGAAAGTTTTCCCCAGGTACCTAAGGAACCTAGTTTTTTAGGGGGAATTAGTAGAACAATAATTAGGTCTGTTTTTATGGTATGTATAAGAATCAAGTTCTTTTCGCCTGTGTCACGTCAAGTTAAAGCAACGCTCTTTGTTTAGGTTTCAGAGTAGCAGCCATGTTAGGAAATGCAGTGGATCTAATTTACCTAGATTTCAGTAAGGCGTTTAATACCGTGCCATATGGGGAATTATTAGTTAAATTGGAAAAGATGGGGATCAATATGGAAATTGAAAGGTGGATAAGGAATTGGTTAAAGGGGAGAGACTACAACGGGTCATACTGAAAGGTGAACTGTCAGGCTGGAGGGAGGTTACCAGTGGAGTTCCTCAAGGATCAGTTTCGGGACTAATTTATTTAATCTTTTTATTACTGACCTCAGCACAAAAAGTGGGAGTGTGCTAATAAAGTTTGCGGATGATACAAAGCTGGGAGTTATTGCCAATTTAGAGAAGGACCGGGATATCATACAGGAGGATCTGGCTGACCTTGTAAACTGGAGTAATAGTAATAGGATGAAATTTAATAGTGAGAAGTGTAAGGTTATGCATTTATGGATTAATAACAAGAATTTTAGTCATAAACTGGGGACGCATCGATTAGAAGTAATGGTGGAGGAGAAGCACCTTGGAGTATTGGTTGATCATAGGATGACTATGAGCTGCTAATGTGATGTGGCCGTGAAAAAAGCTAATGCGGTCTTGGGATGCATCAGGCGAGGTATTTCCAATAGAGATAAGGAGGTTTTAGTACCGTTATACAAGGCACTGGTGAGACCTCATCTGGAATACTGTGTGCAGTTCTGGTCTCCCATGTTTAAGAAGGATGAATTCAAACTGGAACAGGTACAGAGAAGGGCTACTAGGATGATCCGAGGAATGGAAAACTTGTCTTATGAAAGGAGACTCTCAAGGAGCTTGGCTTGTTTAGCCTAACTAAAAGAAGGTTGAGGGGAGAGATGATTGCTCTCTATAAATATATCCGAGGGGTAAATACCGGAGAGGGAGAGGAATTATTTAAGCTCAGTACCAATGTGGACACAAGAACAAATGGATATAAACTGGTCATTGGGAAGTTTAGACTTGAAATTAGATGAAGGTTTCTAACCATCAGAGGAGTGAAGTTTTGGAATAGCCTTCCAAGGGAAGCAGTGGGGGCAAAAGATCTATCTGGCTTCAAGATTAAACTCAATAAGTTTATGGAAGAGATGGTATGATGGGATAACATGATTTTGGTAATTATGGTAAATTGTTATGGTAAAAACATGGTAAATTGCCTAATGGCCTGTGATGGGATGTTAGATGGGGTGGGATCTGAGTTACAACAGAAAATTCTTATAAATTATAAAGTATTATAATCATCTGCTCTCTCTATTTAACAGGGTATTACCATATTATAGGATGAGCATGATTACAACAACTATGACATGTAATTTCTAATGATTTTATTAAACTTGAGTGAAATATCTGATTATGAATATTTAAATGTCTACCAAATGTTAATATTCAAAAAAAAATGGACAGATGTGCTGGAGTTTTTCTTTTTTTTTTCTTTTTCTTTTCTTTTTTTTTTCTTTGCAGATGAACATACTTCGTCTGGGTACTGAATAAATAGTATCCAAATATCTAAGTATCTATTTGTCCTCAGTCTGTTTTGCTGGGTACATAATTGTTGAACTAATTATTCCATTAGTGCCATCTCCCATATTTGTTAACCATTCTTCTATAGGTGGACTACTTTTCTTTTTCCAATGAGAAGCTATGAGTAGCCTAGCAGCTACTAGCAGATGGGAGATTAATAATTTTATTTCTTTTGTGTGACCACTTCCACTGGGAAGCCCCAGGAGGATTACCAGGGGATCATTTGGTAATATATATCCAACAATTTGTGATATTTGGTTACAAAATGCATCTCAATACTCTCTAATGACTGGACATAAGCATAAACTCTCTTTCCAAAGAATTTTAATAACTAGTTTCAAATTCTCCATGCTCAAGTGCTTAGGATGCCAATGCTAGAGGGGAATGTGTGTTTAAAAACAAGTATTTCCACAGATTTCTCATAAATTAATGGAAATTAGTTTCATCCTGAATGATCATACATCAGTGACTCACAATGTGTATGACATTAGTGACTGTTGCCATAACAACAACAGTCCTCCAGGGCAGATTGGATTTTCCTCCAGGGCAGATTGGAAGAGGCCCTGGAAGTTTTTCGCCTTCCTCTGTAGCATGGGGCACGGGTCACTTGCTGGAGGATTCTCTGCTCCTTGAAGTCTTTAAACCACAGTTTGAGGACTTGAGTAGCTCAGACATAGGTGAGAGGTTTTTGCAGGAGTGGGTGGGTGAGATTCTATGGCCTGTGTTGAGCAGGAGTTCGGACTAGATGATCATAATGGCCCCTTCTGACCTTAGTATCTATGAATCTGTATCCGCAAAAAGAAAAGGAGTACTTGTGGCACCTTAGAGACTAACAAATTTATTTGAGCATAACCTTTTGTGAGCTACAGCTCACTTCATTGGATGCAAATAAATTTGTTAGCCTCTAAGGTGCCACAAGTACTCCTTTTCTTTTTACTCTTTGTTTAATGCATGGTATTGGTATGTAATGGAGGTAGGAATGTGTAAGGCTAGGTTGATGGCAAGTGTGCTGTTACAGCAGGTTTTAGCATAGTTGGACTACGCATAGGACGTCTCCCAAGGGTGCTGAATAGGACATGGTACCTGCAGATCATCAGTTTGGTCTAGGCCTTTAGGCCTCTGGGTATGTCTGTGTTAGGCTTCTTACCTTGAGTTAATTAGCAGTCAGTTTAAAAATGTCTAGTGAAAGCAAGCCTATGAGAGCAAAGCCTACATATGTGAATGTTAGGCCTGGAATAGGTCCTTAACGCAGGTGTTTAATGCTCACAAAGAACAGTTAGCTCGTCAGAGCTCTTTTTCTTTTGTAGTACATAACAATGATAAAATGAGAAGTTATAATTTGCTAGATTATTACTGCACATAAAGCTAAACTAAAACTAAACTAAATTAATGGGTAGTTGAATTTTCCAAAATGAAAATTCTGCATTAATATAAACAGTATCTGACTTGTCCCTAGCCAATTCTTGTACATTTTTAGAATTAATTTAGTTTGATGGACCACCAAGACGTCTATCTCTGATGTGGTAATCCACTAAAAAGAAAGTCCTCTCATTACAGATTCACCGGTATTTAAAGTATTTTATGGGAACCTGAGTTAGGGTTATTATTTGATTTTAAGGGATACTGTCAGATTATTTATCGGTGAATACACTTGTTGTGTTGTTAAAAACTATCGAGATTATTAAAAATAAAAGAAAATAACTAAATTTATTTTTTTACTATTTGAACAATTTTATGTGATGCAGAAGATTAACTGTGAGTAAGCTATGAATAATGTAGTTAGGAGAAAAGGCTGTGTTTGTAGGATCACTGGCAGTATTGTGATGGTTAAGGTTCCCAGAATTAGATCAGTTTGTGGATGACAGGGGATGGATCACTGGAGAATTGCCATATTCTGTTCATTCCCTCTGAAGAATGTGGCATTGGCCACGGTCGGAAGACCGGATACTGGGCTAGATGGACAATTAGCCTGACCCAGTATGGCCGTTTGTATGTTACAATGAACAACAGGTGGCAGTCATAAGATACAATGCATAACTTCTTTCAAAAAAAACAATTTAAAATGCAGGCACTTTGTTAATATAACAAAATTTTACATTTATGCCTGGTTTCAGAGTAGCAGCCGTATTAGTCTGTATCCGCAAAAAGAAAAGGAGTTCTTGTGGCACCTTAGAGACTAACAAATTTATTAGAGAATAAACTTTCGTGAGCTACAGCTCACTTCATTGGATGCATGCAGTGGAAAATACAGTGGGGAGATTTTATATACACAGAGAACATGAAACAATGGGTGTTACCATACACACTGGGGGGGGGAGCACGCGCGGAACCTTTTGTAGTGATAATCAAGGTGGGCCATTTCCAGCAGTTGACAAGAACGTGTGAGGAACAGTGGGGTGGGGGGAAATAAACATGGGGAAATAGTTTTACTTTGTGTAATGACACATCCACTCCCAGTCTTTATTCAAGCCTAAGTTAATTGTGTCCAGTTTGCAAATTAGTTCCAATTCAGCAGTCTCTCGTTGGAGTCTGTTTTTGAAGTTTTTTTGTTGAAGAATTGCCGCTTTTAGGTCTGTAGTTGAGTGACCAAAGAGACTGAAGTGTTCTCCGAATGGTTTTTGAATGTTATAATTCTTGACGTCTGATTTGTGTCCATTTATTCTTTTACGTAGAGACTGTCCAGTTTGGCCAATGTACATGGCAGAGGGGCATTGCTGGCACATGATGGCATATATCACATTGGTAGATGTGCAGGTGAACGAGCCTCTGATAGTGTGGTTGATGTGATTAGGCCCTATGATGTTGTCCCCTGAATAGATATGTGGACACAGTTGGCAACGGGCTTTGTTGCAAGGACGGGTTCCTGGGTTAATGTTTTTGTTGTGTGGTGTGTGGTTGTTGGTGAGTATTTGCTTCAGGTTGGGGGGCTTTCTGTAAGCAAGGACTGGCCTGTCTCCCAAGATCTGTGAGAGTGATGGGTCATCTTTCGGGATAGGTTGTAGATCCTTGATGATGCGTTGGAGAGGTTTTAGTTGGGGGCTGAAGGTGATGGCTAGTGGCGTTCTGTTATTTTCTTTGTTGGGCCTGTCCTGTAGTAGGTAACTTCTGGGTACTCTTCTGGCTCTGTCTGTCTGTTTCTTCACTTCAGCAGGTAGGCATTGTAGTTGTAAGAACGCTTGATAGAGATCTTGTAGGTGTTTGTCTCTGTCTGAGGGGTTGGAGCAAATGTATCGTAGAGCTTGGCTGTAGACAATGGATCGTGTGGAGTGGTCTGGATGAAAGCTGAAGGCATGTAGGTAGGCATAGATGTCAGTAGGTTCCTGGTATCGGGTGGTGTTTATGTGACCATCACTTATTAGCACCGTAGTGTCCAGGAAGTGGATCTCTTGTGTGGACTGGACCAGGCTGAGGTTGATGGTGGGACGGAAATTGTTGAAATCCTGGTGGAATTCCTCAAGGGCTTCTTTTCCATGGGTCCAGATGATGAAGATGTCATCAATGTAGCGCAAGTTGAGTAGGGGCATTGGGGGACTAGAGCTGAGGAAGCGTTGTTCTAAGTCAGCCATAAAAATGTTGGCATACTGTGGGGCCATGCGGGTACCCACAGCAGTGCCGCTGATGTGAAGGTATACGTTGTCGCCAAATGTGAAATAGTTTTGGGTGAGGACAAAGTTCAGCCACCAGGTTTGCCGTGACATTATCGGAGATACTGTTGCTGATGGCTTATAGTCCATTTTTGTGTGGAATGTTGGTGTAGAGGGCTTCTGCATCCATCGTGGCCAGGTGTTTTCAGGAAGATCACTGATGGATTGTAGTTTCCTCAGGAAGTCAGTGGTGTCTCAAAGACAGCTGAGAGTGCTGGTAGCATAGGGCCTGAGGAGGGAGTGTACATAGCCAGACCATCCTGCTGTCAGGGTGCCAATCCCTGAGATGATGGGGCGTCCAGGATTTCCGGGTTTATGGATCTTGGGTAGCAGACAGGATACCCCAGGTCAGGATTCTAGGGGTGTGTCTGTGCGGATTTGTTCTTGTGCTTCTTCCGGGAGTTTCTTGAGCAGATGTTGTAGTTTCTTTTGGTAACCCTCAGTGGGATCAGAGGGTAATGGCTTGTAGAATGTGGTGTTGGAGAGCTGCCTGGCAGCCTCTTGTTCATATTCTGACCTGTTCATGATGACGACAGCACCTCCTTTGTCAGCCTTTTTGATTATGATGTCAGAGTTGTTTCTGAGGCTGTGGATGGCATTGTGTTCTGCGTGGCTGAGGTTATGGGGCAAGTGATGCTGCTTTTCCACAATTTCAGCCCGTGCACGTTGGCGGAAGCACTGTATGTAGAAGTCCAGTCTGTTGTTTCGACCTTCAGGAGGAGTCCACCCAGAATCCTTTTTGTAGTGTTGGTAGGAAGGTCTCTGTGCATAAGTGTGTTGTTCGGAGGTGTGTTGGAAATATTCCTTGAGTCAGAGTCGTCAAAAATAGGATTCTAGGATTTATGCCTACTTTCTATACAGCCATTCGCTTCTGACATGCGTATTTGGAAACTATGACCCCATCAATGACTGTGAAGTCTTATGATAAATCGGAAGCCCCAGCATGGAATATAGCTCTATGCAGAGGACCAAACACACTGAAACTACCAGGCACAGAGTTTACTAATGTGAATGCTTACTTCTCATTTATGTAAACTACTCAGAATATGAAGCAATATGCCTGGTATTAACTGTTGGCAGGGACAGACTCTTAGACTGTAAGCCCAGTGGAGTAAATTTCAAGCCCCCCCTCCATTTTCTTTACAGCACCAAACACACAGATGGTGCTTACCTGACAATGTCACCTTCAATTGTGACCCAAAATAAAAATAAATATTTTCCCAAAGTGCTTGAGACCAGAACTATAACAACTAAAGAACCTGAAAGTGAAATTCAGTGGGGGGAGGGAAGAAGAGTGAAACTGATTTATTTTCTCTTGTCCTTAAATTGTGGGAAATGCAAAAAGTAAACAAAAAGCATAAAAATAACAAACTGGATTTTTTTAATTTCACATAAGAACCTATGGTGTTCTTTTAATGACATCAGTCAAAACAATGTCATTTGTGTGGATATGATAAAATATTTTAACAGTAAGCAATGCTCAACCTTAACCATAACACCTGAGTGGTGTGGAGAAAGCGTTTTTGGCGGTCACTGCACATTGAGCAGATGTTACCAGACAACTATCGACGATGACTCCAAGATCTTTCTGGATTGATAACAGCTAATTTAGACCCCATCATTTTACACGTATAGTTGGGATTATGTTTTCCAGTGTGCATTACTTTGCACTTATCAACACTGAATTTCATTTGCTATTTTGTCACCCAGTCATCCAGTTTTGTGAGATCCCTTTGTAAGTCTTAGCTAAATCCAAAGCAGACTGCAATCTTGAGTAATTTTAGCTTGTCTGCAAATTTGCCACCTCACTGTTCACCCCCTTTTTCAGATTTTTTTATCAATATGTTGAACAGCACAAGATCCTTGGGGATGCTGCTTTTATGTTTCTGTATTATAAATTAATGCATATTGTTTGTGAACCTGTTCAGTGTTAGAGAAGTTTGGATGAGAGAACCATGAAATACAGTGCTTTGAAAATCTGAATTGCAAATGAAATGACACTTATCCAGTAAGACATATTGAATACTCCTATATAATAGTTCATAATAAAAATAACTGTTTTTTCCTTTCTGATCTTACAATAGAAAATACTCCTTTTCGGATATTAAAAGACTTGGTCAACGTTTTTTCAACCTGACTGCCTACAGTTAGGCACTTAAATAAGAAGTGACCTGACAGACAAAGGTAGTGAGCACCCCTTTTCAATAGCATCAGTGGGATCTGTGGATGCTCAACACTTTTGAAAGTCAGGCCATTTTGATGACTTGTCTTTACATGTTTCTCCTTTTAAATAATGTCTCCTTTCAGTACATAAAGCAGACATCTGCGAGATTTTATATATTCTGTGGTTGCATATTCAGTAGATATGGAAGCAGATACTACAGTAGTAGGCAAGGTAATGGTAGAATAATACTTAGGTCTAGCAACTTATTCTGTTACATGGTTACAAGGATTTGAACAATACTTGTAGGCAATACTGCTTGCTTTAGCAATACTGTGTATGAAGAAAGCATCTCTGTCGCAATGACAACATCTACTTACACCCATGGTTTAGAAAAGGTTTCTGTATTCAAGGGAGATGAGCAAATATAGTGATATATAGCCCTATTGTGCATTTATTGCACATCCAGAAACCCAGTGAATTCAGTGGAAGGGAGTTTTCAGTGCACAAGGAATGCATGATTGGGCCCTGTCATATACTATATGATGTTTATGCAAAGTTTCAAGATTTCCAGAAAGACTTCTTGGGGACCTAAAGACTATACAATTGTAGAAGAAAATTGTTAATTTACCCAAAGTATAAAAGTGGACAGTTGACATCCATTCTTTCCTTTCTTACTAAACATCATTCTTCCCTTCCACTGGAACCTGGTTATTTTCATTAAAAAGCTGAATAATAAAGGACATTTGGTGTGGAATTGACTCTTTGAATTGACATGATGCAGTAAACTCAGTGTTCTGCCCTGAAAAACATTAGCAATGGCATGGGGGCTACCCTGAGGAAATTGTGGAAGCCCCATGGCCTGGTATGTTTAAAAGACTAGAGAATGTACTGTATGGAAGAATCCTGCTTTGGCAGGGGAATGGCACAATGACCTTTTAGGTCTCTTCCATCTCTGATTTCTAAGAATGAAAAGCCAGGGCTTTTAATTTGGTTTTCTTAGGCTATGTCTGCCTTACAGATGAGAGGTGTCATTCCTGTGCTTGTGTACACATACTCAGAGTAATTCAATGAGAGCTAGCCGACACATAAACAGTGGTGTAGCTTCGGTAGCCCCATGGGCAGTGGTAATGGAGGCAGTTTCAGGTGGGTTTGTACTTTGCACAGCTCAGCCAGGCCTTTGCTGTTGCTGCCCATACTACTGCAGCTATGCTTTCTCATGGAACTAGTGCGAGACTGTGTACGTGAGCTAGTTCATAGTGTAGACATAGCCATAGGGTCGCTTGTGGGTATTGGCAGTCATAGTTTTAATGTGTGCATTATGCGTTCCTCAATGCGGTGTTCTAACATTCCATTTTTTTTTTCCTTTCTGCAGGTGCAGAAGCTGCTATGTATGTGCCCTGTGGATTTCCATGGGATTTTCCAGCTAGATGAGCGTCGCAGAGATGCTGTGATTGCTTTGGGAATTTTTCTCATTGAGTCTGATCTTCAGGTACAACTTTCCCTCATTTTAATTTTCTTCAGCTGAAGTACTTTTGAATAAATCTTTAAATGGGGTTGATTGGTGAATGAAATGTTAGGTATGGATGTTTCTTGCTTGAAATAAGACATGGCAAAGTATGACAGTGAATGTAGCCTCTATCTAGGCCTACGGGACCTGACATTTAGAAGGGGTTGCACAAAAATGTAATGTGCAATTGCTTGCTTAAATTTTCACACACATTATGTTTAAACATATACCTACATCTGACAATCAGGCCCATAATTTCCTTTTTATGCATGGGAGGGATTAGGGTGAAAACCTATACACATAATGCTGTTTGTTCTTCACGAACATTCATCTTAAACATCTGGCCTCTCTGGGACAGGCAGCCATGATGTTTCCATGAGCTGATGTGAAGGCTTCAGTATGCCCTAAAGGTGGTATCATCTCTAGAAGGAGGGAGATGTGATGCCTTAAGTACCTGATCCAAAATCCATTGAACTCAATGTAAATCTTTTAATTGGTTTCAATGGGTTTTGGATCAGGCCATAAGACACTTCTGTTTCAGCCTCCCAGTTGATCTAGATCAGAGGTGGGCAACCTACGGCCCGCGGGACTGTCCTGCCCGGCCCTTAAACTCCTGGCCCCTCCCCTGCTATGCCCCCTCCCCCGCAGCCTCAGGTTCCCGTGATGCCGGCACTCTGGGTGGCGGGACTGCGAGCTCCTGCCAGGCAGCGCGGTTGCGAGAGCTGCCGGCCTGCTCCGGTGCTCTTGACTGCGCGGCAGCATGGCTGGCTCTGGCTGGGCAGCACGGCTACCAGTCCTGGTACTCTGAGCGGCATGGTAAGGGGGTGGGGAACGGGGGGGTTGGATAAGGGGCAGGAGGTCCTGGGGGGCAGTCAGGGGACACGGGGCGGTTGGATAGGCGTGGGAGTCCCGGGGGGGCCTGTCGGGGGTGGGAGTGTGGATAGGGGTCTGGGCAGTCAGGGGACAGGGAGCAGCGGCTGTTGGATAAGGAGTGGGGTTCCAGGGGGGCATTTGCGGGAGGGGACAAGGAGTCCTGGGAGGGGGTGGTCAGGGGACAAGGAGTGGGGAGAGGTTTGGGTGGTTAGGGGTTCTGAGGGGGCAGTCAGGGGGTGGGAAGTGGGAGGGGGCAGATAGGGGTAGAGGGCCAGGCTGTTTGGGGAGGCACAGCCTTCCCTACCTGGCCCTCCAGACAGTTTCAGAACCCCAATGTGGCCCTCAGGCCAAAAGGTTTGCCCAGCCCTGATCTAGATGAATGTAATATTATTAACAGCTTTGCTGTTTAATTTTGTGATGTGAACTCATTACCAAGAACTGGGCAAACCACGTCACTTGTAATGGAACTTGGCATTTATATGATGCTTTATGTATTCAAAGCACTGAACAAGTGTTAATCCACCCCTGTGAGGGAAGTTAGCACTGTCCCCAATTTATACATTTGGAAACTGAGCGCCTGTACTGAGAGGTTAAGTGATTTGCTCAAGGCTATGGAGTGCTGGCATTAGAATTTGGGAATTTCCACTCTGTTTTAGGTTTCAGAGTAACAGCTGTGTTAATCTGTATTCGCAAAAAGAAAAGGAGTACTTGTGGCACCTTAGAGACTAACCAATTTATTTGAGCATAAGCTTTCGTGAGCTACAGCTCACTGCATCCGATGAAGTGAGCTGTAGCTCACGAAAGCTTACACTCTGTTTTAGCAATCTAGCAAAATAATTTTCTGCTTCTTGTTAGACTCAAATCAACACACTAGAGACAAAATATCAAGACATATAATCATCCTCAAATTACATGATAGACCAACAGTGTCCTGTCTCATTTAGCAATTGGTAGGATGGAACAATTTTATTTATAGCATTGAACTAGTTACATGATTTACCTTATCTGTATTAAATCAGTTATGCGATATTTAGGCAGCCTGTAAGTAATCATTAGATGACTTGAGTTCTATATATAGTCACTATACCCATCCTCTGCATGACTCATGTATATTGAAACTGTTACTCAATTTTTATCTTCCATTTCAAACAAATGTTTTCTCTTTCAGCACAAAGATAGTGTGGTCCCTTATCTTCTCCGGCTTCTGAGGGGTCTTCCCAAAGTACAGTGGATAGAAGAAAGCACTGCACGAAAAGGCAGAGGTGGTTTTAAGTTTTACTCTTCAGAGTGTGTGCTTGGGAAATAGAATTAAGTTCTGGGCTGAGTACAAAAGGATGTGATCAGCTCCCTTATGTTTTTAGCTGTTGACATAACTGCCTGTATTGGAAAGATACAGCAGTAAAATTGATTCTTCTTGAGAGACCAGAAAGGAAGTTGAATAGCTCACACCTTTCCTGATGTCAGCTTAGCTGCTTTCCAAATAATTCAATACCAGTCAGTCACATCTTCAGGGCTAAGTTGTTAGGAGACAGTATAATGACTAGAGTGGAGAGTGACGGTCAAGATTCTTGGGGGCTATTCCCAGCTTTGCCGCTGGTTTGTTGTTCAACCTTGGGTAAAACACTAAACTTCTTGGAGTCTTAATGTACCTATCTTTAAAATGGTAGAGAGAGTACTTCTCTACCATGTAGGGGTATGTAAGGTTTAGTTTGCTAATGTTTGTAAAAGTATTTTGAAATCCTGAAAAGCTCCAAATTAGAGTGCGTGCTGTTGTTCGTTTGTTTATTTTTATTAAATTATGCTTGACATATTTAGGATTTTCCCTTTTCACAGCACGGCTATAGAGACTGGAAACTCCTGTTTTTCCCTTCTTCAGGAAAGACTAACCCCACCTGTCTAATATGTTTTTCTTAGGGCATTTGGCTCTCCTCTCGAATCTCACTTTCCTACCAGGGAACAACTCTGAACTTCATAGTTTGCAACTTTCTGACGTCAGCTGGTTTTTGTACTTTCCTCTCCTGCTGAGAATGTCCAGCCTTCTCTGTTTAAATCCTCTTAGAATGAGTTATGCAGGTTCTTTTCAGATTCAAGCTTAGTTTCAGCAAGGATTGGTAGGAGTCCTTTATTAAAATCTTTGCCACCTGAAAGGCACATTTACTCAAACACCGTTGGCTTTTTTTGTCCAAGAGATACAAATGATGCTATTGTCTTGTCTGCACTCCAGTCTATTATTGGCACCAGTGGATAGCCTGTCAGGGTATAATGTGTCAGTTAAGTTGTTACTTGTCAACATATCCTGCCTTGCAGCGTATGTCAGTCTTCTCCTAGGGCCTGATCCTTCAGCCCTATGATTATTAAACAATAGGGTTTCTCCTGCATGTTGGGAAGACACTGGTTTTTCTGAAACAGCTACACAGCTTTATAGGTTGTTGCAACAATGACTATTCCATATTAGCAAATCTGTCTGCTTCTGTTGCGCTTGCTCGTTTTTCTTTATTGCATCTTTCATTAGTTCTCAGACTTGGAATCAGTATGCCTTTCTTGCTTTCTTTCTCACTTTTTTTCAACACTTGAATTTGTTCATTGTGTGAATGTTAATGCCAAATGACTACTTTATTTTCAGTCTTTGTCTTCTGCCATGCCTTATATATGAAACAAGAAACATTTTTATTCCCTCTAAAGCAACATATTTCTCTTGTTTTTTGCTAATTACTGGCTCAAGGGTATGATTTAAATCTTTGTGTATATGTCAGTTACTCAACCGCTGACTTGCTTGATTTAGCTGTGCCATGGGGCATTGCTGAAAGGCTGCCTTATGATTTCTTGTGACAATAATAAAATATTACTTCTTATTTTCAAATGGCTGACCCAAGTACTACTGTAATGTTGTCTCTCCTCTCTCCACCCTTTCCCTCCCCACTTCTGTAGGCATGCTTCCAGTTGCAGAAAACTTCAGCTTCTGCTTGGTGACTTTGTTGTCAGATGTTGCCTATAGGGATGCCACTCTTAGAGAACAGGTAGAGTTAACTGAAATATTTTGATGTGCACTCTTAGATCTCTGCTGCTTAAATAACTATTTCAAAAAGGTGAAAAAAGGGTTTAAAATAAAGAATACCATGGCAGCTTTTCTTCACAAAGGATGCGATCACATAAACACTGCAGTTGAATAACTTTACTTCTGTGAATAGTCCTGTTGTGCTCAAAAGTTACTCACACGTGTCTTTTGAGGTTTGAGCCCAAAAACATTGCCCATAACAAAGCCAAGTGACTTAAAATGAATGTGTTTGATACCGGAGTTGGAGATATTGCTTTCTCAAAATGCTAATACTTATGAGTTATTTAGGATATTACTTTAGCTAAGGAGGCTTCTTTAGTTAAATGAGTTAGAGAGAAACATATCTTTGTTTTATACAGTATGAAAAACCCATTCAATTTAAAATATGTGAAGTTCAAAATTAATATTCGCAAGTTTCATTTGACGTAATGTAATGATCTGGCATGTGCTAGCTTTAAAGTGTTCACTGAAGAATGTTTTTGTATGTCTGTCTTGGTTGTTTTAGGTTTTAGAGGCAATTCTGCAAGTGATGCAGTTCCTGCTAGGAATGTGCCAGTCCCCACAAAACCAGGAAAAAGGTATTAGGACAGTTCTTTAAATTGGTGTTTCATCTTTATTGTAGCTTCACCTGAACTTCACTTACTCTCTAACCTTCACCACAATTCTGTTTAAAAAGTGTATTATATAACTAGCATTCACCATTGGGTCTGTAATTGATGACAGAATGTCCATAATTGGTGAGAGTATTCTGACTTTTGTTTGTATGCTGATTGGTAAATTTTGAGCTAAGCTGGACAAACATATTTACATATATGACATAAATTAGCTATTCTTCCCCTAATAATGCAAGTCTGGCTTTGTGATGTATATTGTGCTGTAATGCTTTTAGTGAGCTTGTAGCAAAGCAGGCAACAGGAAGTCATAAGCTGATATGCAGTAAGAAAGATATATGGCCTAATTTTGTTTTCCAGAATACTTGTGCAAATATGCAGTGCCGTGTCTGATTGGAATTTCACGAGCATTTGGTCGCTACAGCAATTCAGAAGAGTCTCTCCTCTCAAAGCTTTTCCCTAAAGCTCCTCCACATTCCCTGAAAGTCCCGGAAGAACTTGAAGGAATTCGCAGACGTTCTTTTAATGATTTTAGATCAATTCTTCCCAGCTCTCTTCTCACTGTCTGTCAAGAAGGATCCTTAAAGAGAAAGACCAGCAGTGTGTCCAGCATCTCACAGGTTTGTGTGGCCACCTTTACAATGAAGACAGCACTTAAACCCTTTTCTGTTCTTCGGTTGAATTAAGAGATGGTCAAACTTATGTTCACTGACAGTCATTCAATGTTATACTTGAACAGATTCAAAGCTTTCTCCCTGAACCACAGAATAATTGATGACAGTTAAGCTAGTTACCTCCATATTAATAGTTTTCACTTGGAAGATCTCAAAGAACTTGCAATCATTAAGCCTCACGCTATCCCTGTGAAGCAGGTATAATAAGGCATACCTGTTTAGCAGGTGGGAAAGTTAGAGAAGTTAACAGTTTGAGTTTTCAGAGGTGATGAGCACCAACAATGCCCTCTAAGTGTGCACCCCCTTTCGAAAATCAGACTTCAGATGACCTGCACAGAATCACAGAATGAAGCCTTAGCAGAGTTGGGCATAGACCCCAGGAATCCTGATGACTCCTGCATTCCCCTAAACCAGGACACTCACTCCCTTCTTCATCCATGCCCCTTTGTTTGAAGTTGTGGTCTGACTCAAGCCTGATTCTGAGAGTTACTGAGCACTCAAAACTCCCATTGACTTCAGTAGGCGTTGGGGATTCATCAACACCTTTCTGGATATATTAATGATGATATGCATTTTTTAAAAGAGAAAATATATTTGAGTCCACATCATCTTAAAGTTCTCAAGGCTTCACTAGCCTTTAATGATAAAGTACAACTATTGCCTTGTGTTTCAGGTCAGTCCTGAACGTGGAATTCCCCCTCCCAGCTCCCCTGGAGGATCTGCCATTCATTACTTTGAAGGTAAAGCTGAAGCTTCCAGTCTTTACTATTTCGCCAAGGAGCAGTGTGTTTTTTGTCACTCTTTACCAATAGGAAGGCTAGGGAACCCAAACCTCCATGCATTCTCTTTGCCTTCAAGGTTACTGGTAGTAATTCTTTGGCATGTACGTGGTAGAGTTCTGCTACATTTTTGCATTAACAAGTTGTTGGATAATCTTTATTTCCAGCAACAGTGGTTTCCAACAACAATGTTTTTTTGTCTAGCTTCCAAGAGAGACATTATTTTCTGATTGCTAAGTAGTCTATGCCTAGTCCTAGAGAGCTTAATTGCACTGGGGCAAAACATAGTTTAGAAGATTAGGCAGAATAACTTTATATAACAAATGTTTTATATTGTACAGCTAAAATGGCAGACTGAGGATTGGAATCTTGAATCCTGTTTGATGGCAGGTTGCATAAGCCCAAAGTAACGTACCTTACTTGAAGTAAAATTGGTATGTGTAAGTTATAGGAAGTCTTACTTTGTCATGGAAAAGTCAAAGGCAAAACTCACAAAAGGGAGATCTTAAAAGGCTATACTGACTGTGTATGTACTCATTGCTATGGATTCTAAAATCAAGTGGTAGAATTCCAGCTGCGAATGAGATGAGCCTGTCACCTTTCAGTGGGCCACTTGCTGAGCTGAAAAAATAAATTGGTACCCTTGATGAAGGGGGAGGAGAGTGAGCTCTGTACTTATTAGATCTTTCATTGTCTTTTGGCTTTGTTTACCCCTTTTGGGGGCCTTATTGTTTGGGCTCTTCCCAGCCTTTGACTGAATGGTGTTCTCCCTCTCCTGGGCAACTGTGGCTTAGGTTTGTCTCCTCCCTTTTATTTCTTATCTGTTCTTCCTATTAATAATTTCTGGAGGACCCTCCCTTCAGGATCAATAGTTTGGACAGGGGTTTCAGAGGAAGGCTGGCCTAATTACCTGGTCACGGGGCAGTTCATTTAATTCCTTCCTGTCTTAGGTCAGCCTGTACAACCCGTCATACCCACCTACACCTCTTCAGCTCAGGCATTCTCGTTTGGATTAAAAAAATAATAGGAAAGGGGGAGTTAGAGAATTCTTCTGCCGTTAATGAAAAATGTAGATGAATGGGGCATACTGTGGATTAGGCCATATGTATCTGGAACTTCTTAGGGGCTCTCTTTCTGAACCATAGGAACTATAATACTGGAACAGGCCAATAGTGCCTCTACTTAGAAGCTAGTGCTGAAAGCAAAATACCTATGAAATGCTTCAAAGCCAGATAAACCTTGCATTATTCCCCATAATGCACCTGGACAATTACAGACCTGTATATTATGTTTTTACTGACCCGGGTTTGTGGTAGTCTTACTTTCTGGTGCAAGAGAATTGATGGCCTTTGTTGTTTTTATTCTATCCAAGACACAGGAGTTGGACAAAAAATACTTTTTTTTTTTTTAAAGTTCATCAGTACATTTTGAGAGTCTGTTAATCACAAGAAAAACACTGCATTAACTCACAGCTGAGGGGTTACAAAAAGCAAGATTGTGATGCCAGAAAGGGAATGGAGTGCCAAAAGTTCATACCTGGCTTCTTGATGAACAGTGTACTCTAGTAATAAAACTATATATTAATTTCTCTTGTACCTTCAAATGGTTACAGTGTCTTGGTTTCTATTTAAGATGGAAGGTGTAGTATGACTTTAAACTTGTGTAGTTTTTTGTGCACACAGGGTTTTTTGAGGTAAACATATTACAGAAGTTGAGCAAAAGTCCTACCAAATGCTATTTACAAAATGAATGCAAATATTTTTAACATAATTTCTTCTCTAACCTTGTATGTATTAAATGGCTGAATCTGTAGTTCTAGTTTACGTTAGATTATAGATTGATTCAGCTTCTGTGGGAACTGGATTAAGCCCTTCATGGTTTATCAGGTATAGACCGTTACCATATTGAAAGTTAAGATCAAAATACCTTCTCTTTTCATAGTTTGCCCCAGTGTCTTCCTTCATATTTAACAAAGAACACAATAAACATTTTGAATTACCTAATGTTATAGTGTTCTCGTCTGTTCTTGTCTGCAGGGTCCTACCTACCTGATGGGAGTGCATTGGACCCTGATTATTACTTCTCTACAATCAGCTCTAGCTTCTCAGTTTCTCCTCTCTTTAATGGTATTAGTAACAAGGAATTTGATATTCCACTGGAAATGCTCCGCCAGCTGCTGCTCATGGTACAGTATGAGCTGCTTTAAAGATCACATTAAGGTCTGGGTTTTATATGCTCATGTTAGACACAGCAGTTGAGGGTATTTTGTGTAAGCTGCAGGGTGAGCCCCTTTCATTTATTTATGCTCAAATAAATTGGTTAGTCTCTAAGGTGCCACAAGTACTCCTTTTCTTTTTGCGAATACAGACTAACACGGCTGTTACTCTGAAACCTTATATTGCCTAATTACACAAGGCATCTCCCCTTACACATCTGAAAGGGGCTCACCCTGCAGCTTACACAAAATACCCTCAACTGCTGTGTCTAACATGAGCATATAAATATTTATGCTCAAATAAATTGGTTAGTCTCTAAGGTGCCACAAGTACTCCTTTTCTTTTTGCAATATAAGGGGTGTGTGTGTGTGTGGTGATTAATATTGCTCATGAAATGTTAGTAATTTAAAGTAATAAAGTTAGTATTGAAACGTTTGCATTGGCAAAGCCATCTAGTTTGCACCTGACAGGCAAATTAATCGATGTAACTTGAGAACCGTGCCATTTTCTAGTGGGGATGGTTTATTGGGACTGCATCTGATGGCAGAGCCTGGTGCCTCTTCTAGGCACATCCTGTGTTATTGCTCAGGGCCTCTTTGCACCATGGTGATACAAACGATGATAATAGGAATTACTATATAACTTTTCACTGCCTTAATTTAGTCTGATGTTTAATATTCAAATGATTGAGTGCTTTCTTTGGCCAGCCTAAATTGTGATTGTAAAACAAACCCTCTACCAAGATAATGCCAATGATAACACCTGACTTCTATTTTCTGTGTAGGTGAAACAGATTGTTGGGGATTCTGTTCTCAAAAACTTAGATGCAGTTGTAGATGAAGTTGCAGAGGTACGTCTTAATTTAATTTACCATTTGAAATGTTTAAAAACCACCTGGGGTTCTTTTTAAAGTCCTAACTATTGTGAAATTAAAGGTAAGAGATGAATAAAAATAGGGGATGTGATAAGGGACAGTCAACTAATATTTGGTTTATGCTTTTGATTAATAAGAATTTGTTTTTTCAAAGCCTAAGACCAGTAGAAATATTTCATAGATTCATAGATATTAAGGTCAGAAGTGACCATTATGATCATCTAGTCTGACCTCCTGCACAACACAGGCCACAGAGTCTCACCCACCCACTCCTGCAAAAACCTCTCACCTATGTCTGAGCTATTGAAGTTCTCAAATCGTGGTTTAAAGACTTCAAGGAGCTGAGAATCCTCCAGCAAGTGACCCGTGCCCCATGCTACAGAGGAAGGTGAAAAACCTCCAGGGCCTCTTCCAATCTGCCCTGGAGGAAAATCCAATCTGCCCTGGAGGACTGTTGTTGTTATAGCAACAGTCACTAATGTCATACACATTGTGAGTCACTGATGTATGATCATTCAGGATGAAACTAATTTCCATTAATTTATGAGAAATCTGTGGAAATACTTGTTTTTAAACACACATTCCCCTCTAGCATTGGCATCCTAAGCACTTGAGCATGGAGAATTTGAAACTAGTTATTAAAATTCTTTGGAAAGAGAGTTTATGCTTATGTCCAGTCATTAGAGAGTATTGAGATGCATTTTGTAACCAAATATCACAAATTGTTGGATATATATTACCAAATGATCCCCTGGTAATCCTCCTGGGGCTTCCCAGTGGAAGTGGTCACACAAAAGAAATAAAATTATTAATCTCCCATCTGCTAGTAGCTGCTAGGCTACTCATAGCTTCTCATTGGAAAAAGAAAAGTAGTCCACCTATAGAAGAATGGTTAACAAATATGGGAGATGGCACTAATGGAATAATTAATTCAACAATTATGTACCCAGCAAAACAGACTGAGGACAAATAGATACTTAGATATTTGGATACTATTTATTCAGTACCCAGACAAAGTATGTTCATCTGCAAAAAAAAAAAAAAAAAAAAAAAAAAAAAAAAAAAAAAGAAAAACTCCAGCACATCTGTCCATTTTTTTTTGAATATTAACATTTGGTAGACATTTAAATATGCATAATCAGATATTTCACTCAAGTTTAATAAAATCATTAGAAATTACGTGTCATAGTTGTTGTAATCATGCTCATCCTATAATATGGTAATACCCTGTTAAATAGAGAGAGCAGATGATTATAATACTTTATAATGTCTCTTAAAAAAAAAAAAACCTTCACCATTGTGATTATTGCTTTGTTTACGATATTTACATGGCAAGGATGTGTAAGCCTGTTAATACTTCCTAAATAGAGTAAACCAAAAGATTTTTTTTTAAAAAGTTATAACTTAGGTAAAGGCCTTTAATTTAATTCTCATGTATTTCATTCTCGCTTCCTGAACAAAACAAAAATGTGTTGCCATTCATTTGCTCTTCACTGTTTTCAGCATGGAAGTTCTTGATACTGTTGTATTTTCAAGATGTCCTCCTTAAAGTTTAGCTGCTTCTGACCTACTTTCAGTGAACATATTTTGCATGGAATATAAGTCCTTATGGGGCTAAATGATTGCTCACGCTGTTTACAATTGCACAGCATCCTCTATCAACATCACCTCTCGTGGGTCTCAGAAATTTTAGACATAGAGCTGTTCTGAACTAAGTATGTTCAGAACTATAGCCAACTCATATATTTTCATCTGTGGAAAAGAACTAGGCTCTTGTCTACAGCCTTTCTTGCTAGTGCAAAATGTAAGTTTTGATGGAAACAGCTGTAGTCTCTGTTTCTGCTTTTCCAATTAAAAATGATTTTGGATTCTCTCATTAGACAGAATTTTGTTACAGTATGTGGTGTTTAAATAAAGGGGATAGCTAAGTACTATTTAATGCATTGAACAGGTATAGTTTGCATCTTGATTAACTGTGAAGACAAAACAACAACCACCCCAAAACCCTTTCCATATGGTGTGCGATTATAATTTAAACAGTACCAGTTATCACAATTACATGTCTAGTATAGAAAATGACAGTTACCTGATCTGAATAAGGGGTTTTATTTGTTCTTCAGTTTACTATTTCATAAGAAAACGTTGTTTTGTTTCCTTTTGAAACGTATAGCTGTTCTTTACTTTTACAGATAAGTCCTAATGCAGATCTCTATTATAAAACATTCAGTGACCCTCTTTACCTTGCCCAGTTTAAAATGTTAAGAGACACGTTATACTACATGAAAGGTACAGTGCTTATATTAATATAACTTTCTACTAAGTAATATGATGGGGGAGAATATAAAGCACTGTGTGCATTGTTTGCTGTGTTCCAAGTGGCTGGGAAGGGTGCAGTGTTTCATGGGTGCTGAATGTATGCTATACAGTTTGTGAAGCACTTCGGTATGAAAGTTGCCCTATAAAATTTAATTATTTAATCTGTTGTTGTCCTCTGCCCGAGGGAGGGACAATCAGCATCCAACTTGTTAATTTCCCAGTGGTCTTTGCTATGAAACTATTCTACTTCTCATTTGGAAAGAAATCTTTTTATGAATAATGTTTTATATTTAATATAAAAATGGATTGGTCTTATGTATATGCTATCTGGGGCACAGCTACTTTCTTTCTGCTAGAATATATTTTCCCTCTTATTCCTGCAGATCTTCCAAACTCATTTGTTAAGGAAATCCATGATTTTGTGCTGGAACAGTTCAACAGCAGCCAGTCAGAGCTTCAGAAAATCCTGCATGATGTAGATCGGCTACACAATGAACTGAGCCCTCTGAAATTGCGTTGCCAGGCTAATGCAGCTTGTGTGGATCTCATGGTGTGGGCTGTGAAAGATGAGCAAGGTGAAAAATACATACTTCTGTCTCTTCAGAATCTTTTGTCTTGCAGAAGTGTTTTGTACAACTCATTCTCCATTGTCAGTAGTTGATGGAGAGTCATTTCTATTACATGACGCTTGTCATAAAATGCATTTAATTATAAACTTCAGGAATTTTTTTGCTAGAGAAACCCAAAGAAAGTCAACCTTGTCAGAAAAATGCACGGGTCATTTTAAAATGCTTATAACTCATAAGTTGGTTAACTGACTTAAAGTTCTCAGAAAATCCTTTCTGAATTCAGAGAATAAGTTCTGTAAGTTTGGGGAGAATGCACTATGTTATTGCACCGTGAAGTGCAAATCTGAATTCATCCTTGCCTACAGAGAGGCTTTGACATCTCCGTAATGCAGAATCTGTTAACTGTAGTTGCTATAAGTCATTCTGAATATCTCTTTAATATAGACCTGATTCAGAAAAGCACCCAATCACGTGCTTTAAACTAAGAAAGTGCTTTCCTGAATAGGGATGTTTTCTTGATTTAGGCTCATACTATGTTTGATTCCTCTAGAAGTGATATTTGCATGAAATCTGACACATACTGCATATATTGCCTTTAAATATAACTTTACAGTATCAGAACTATAGGCAGGGACATGCAAGATCTTCTAAAAATCTTGCAAAATTACTGATAGAAATCATGTAGAAAAGGCCCATTAGTTCATCCAGACCATGAATGTCTCAAAAAGATGCTTCCACTTTTTCGTAGATATCATTGTCAGGAAGCTTTTCCTGATATTTAGCAGTGTTTTCCTCCTTTCTTTAAATTTAAACTTCTACCCCCTAATCTATTAAACATTTCTTTAAATATTTAAAATAGTTGTAGATGGCTATCAAATAAAACAAACACACAGCTGTCTTTGACACCTGTAGCTATCTCAGTTCAGAATATTTGAAAGAACTGTTTATTGCAGATATTAATAAGATTCCCAAACTTTTTACCAAAATGTTACGAACAAAGTTCAAATAAACCCTTCAAGCCAAATCAACCAAATCAAAACACCATGGATAACATTCTGTAAAACTTAAACAGTTCGGCATCTCTGTACTCTGAAGTAGGTGAATCCAGCAAATTCTCTACCTGTTTGATGGTCTTCAGTAAGCACATTGTACTAGGTAGGCTAATAAATTCACATACATTCTTCAGATCTATTATTGATTTCCTTCTTTTGGAACAAAGGTGCAGAAAACCTGTGCATCAAACTGTCGGAGAAGCTGCAGTCCAAGACCTCCAGCAAAGTCATCATTGCTCACTTGCCGCTGCTGATCTGCTGCTTGCAGGTCTGTCTTTAAAGGATTGAAAAGGAGTATTTTGATTTCAGCAAGTCACTTAGTAAAATTGCTTGCAGGTTCACAGACTAATTTAGCAGTTTTCTCATCTTCTGGTTATATTACTCTTGCCTGTGTCCTCTGCGTCTGCATTTTAGGGGCTTGAAACCACAGTGAGCTGGTGCTTCCCAGAATCTACTTGGCTCAATTTAAAAAAAAGTAGTGGGACTGGTTGGCTCCTGGGATTAGTCCAGATATGAAACCTTTCATCTCTTGTTCAGCAATTGAAATCCAACACAGGTTGGTAGTGATCAAAACCTGAGGCCATCTGATGATGATTCAGTAGCCTGTGTGAAATTAATTAAATAGGATGCAAACCAGCCCAGAAGGTAAGGTGTCCCATTCACAAAGACCCTACCACATTTGGAACTAATTAACCTCTTTGTTGGCAGTCTGTGTAGAGGGCAATGTGGAAAAAGTCGTGGAGACTGACCTTCCTTCTCATTGCTATGGTGATCTCTTTTCAGGTCAGGGTTGATTCATATTGGCAGGTTAATGTGCAGAAACTTGCCCAGGCTGCACATGATCTGTCAATAAATGTACATGATCCTTTAGGATTATCAATGTGTGTTATCTTGGAGTAGAAAATTCATTTTTAAAAGGGAAAAAGGAATATGGTGTTATCAGCGTCATTCTAGTTGGACACTTATCCACTTTGCAAAACCAGTCCACAGTTGTCATTCTGTAATCAAGACCGGAATAGTAAAGACATGTTACTCCTCAGGGCTCTTTAAAATGTGCTTATCCCATAACTTCACTTCCGGGGAAGCCTGTTCATTAGGTATACTAAATGCTATCTTCTGCAAAACCCCTGGGAAGAAAAGGGCAAGAAATTGCTTACTTGTCATGCTGTCAGTGTGATCCTTTAGATCAGAGGTTTGAAACATTCTTTCACTGGAGTACAAATCCCTCAGCAATGATATATTTTTTTTAAAGCCATGAGCGCACAGTTGAAATAAAAATAGGTCTGCTTATGCAGCAGGAAAGTTAGAAGTTGTAATGTGTCAATTATTTCCTTCTAGGGTCTAGGTCGTTTGTGTGAGAGGTTCCCTGTTGTGGTTCATTCTGTGACTCCATCTTTGAGGGACTTCCTCGTTATTCCTTCCCCAGTGCTGGTAAAACTTTACAAGTACCACAGCCAGTATCACACAGGTAAATGAAAGCAATATTAGCTCCATCTATGGTCCAGTCATGTGGTGGACCACAAACAACACTAATTTGCTCTTAAATTTCCTTTTATTATTGCAAGTTACTTAAAGGTTTTTTCATTTTCTACCAAGTTATTTATTTGTGGTTTGGGTTTGTTTGTTTTATTTTGGAGGAAGAGAGGGAATGCAAAAAAAGTTCATGCAAATATACACCCTGATGTCTTGGTGCTAGCAATAACCGTACAGAAATAACTAAGTCCATAGCATCCTACTCTCTCAACCCTGCAAAGTCAGTTTTGCCTAATACTGTCTTATTTTATAATTTCAGTAACTTTCATTCTCTTAAATGGTTAGTGTCTCCTCTGGCCCACAATGGTATCAAGGTGTTAAGTTTGTAGGGCGCAGCATGCAAGCGTGTATGTGTGTGTGTGTGTGTGTGAGAGAGAGAATATATATATCTATGAACAAATATATCAGCAGAAAAGTGACTTTTGAAACTAGCAAGATTGTAATAGAAGGTACAACAAATATGTGTCCATGTTGGTCAAATAACCTAGTTTCTGCAATTTTTTGGTTGGTTGTTCTAAATAGTCTATCTTTTGTGTCATGTCTAAAGATGTTAAGCCTGTTTTTGAAAATTACTTTGACATCTTGGTTATGCTTAGAATTTCATCTATTAGTGCATAGTTTGAAGTGTAACTAAAAAATTGTGTTCATCCATCCATCCTCTGTTTCATACCCAGGAAGATTAGGTGCTTCCCCCCCACCCACCCCCCAGCAAAAGGAGGGTTGAAATCCCACCACTACTTATATGCAATATGTGTGCAGCATGAATTGCCAGCAAGCTATCTTGGGCTGCTTTCAGTCTGTGTTAGGTAGATGAAACAGACCAATAAGGTGGGGATGGGTTGGGAGGATGAAAACCACAAATCACAGTTTAGATGGAAAGCAGAAGTGTATGCTCATTGCTGCATGCTTGTATGTTTAAAGGCACACTTAGACCATTTGGCATATAGACGAATGAGCCAGTGTTATGACTCGTAAGTTCCCTGACCACCAAAAATTTAATCATAAACTTGTGGTTTTTTTTTTTACATATTGGATATTGCTGTGATTACTTGTCAGTGAGTTGCTTTTCTGAAACATGGAGTTCCATTTTTATTTGTTCTTCAGGATTTCTTTATTGAAGTTTTCAATTTCAAATTGAATGTTGATTTTTTTTTTTCCCTAACTGCTAGTCCTGCAGAATATCCCTGGGTCTGAATGTGAATCTGTGTTCCTTCTGCCTCTTACAGTGACACAACTAGTAAAGAGTCCACAGCTAAAATTTAGGTGGCAATTTTGTTAGTGATGCCCAAAGCAGAACAGCTTGCTTTTCCACAGCCTTATTGTCTATATGCAGTGTTCAAAGGAGTGAAAACTTGTTTTGTCAAGAATAATAAGTAGCTTGGACTTGAAGGTGAACAGGGAGCAGGTATGTCAAGTAGGAGACTTCATTTTTACCCAATAGTTCTTTTATGTTCTAACCATGCTTTAAAACACACTGAGGGAAATTAATCCCTCCTGTAGCTCTGTTTACTTCAGAGGTGCACCAGGAATGAATCTGGTTCAAGGTATTTCAGAGTGTTAGCGATACTAAGGGAGATGCAAATATTAAAAGTAAGGCAATGTAAAAATCCATTTAATAAATTGTTTACTGATTAGTCACATCCAGCAGGTTTGATTTGAAAAATCCTAATGTTAAGTTTGAGTATTCTTCTTTGAGACTGCCAATTAAATGATTTTAACTAATACTAAAGCAATATTCAAAGCTATGCAAAGTGAGAAGGGTGGAGGCTTCTGAAAACGAATTGAGTAATGAAATAAATTTATAGCCCACGTTGGTAGCCATGCTTCACATGGTACCAAAGTTCTTCAGAGCACCTGTCTCTCTCCCTCTCCCTCTCTCCTGCATCCTAGTCTGTTTTGCATTCACTTGCCAGGTATTTCTCTACCTATGTATACACAATTCAAGGAAAGATATAGCAAAAGACACTGTCTCTTACGCTCCATCTCTGTTCTTAGTAGGTGGCAATGACATCAAAATCAGCGTAACAAATGAGCATTCAGAGTCCACTCTAAATGTAATGCCCGGCAAGAAAAGTCAACCATCCATGTATGAACAGCTTCGAGACATTGCCATAGACAACATCTGCAGGTAAGAATTGTACTTAGAAACGCTGAAGGACTATCAAAAATGCAGTTTAAGGAGACAGGCGCTGATCTCACTGAAGTGGACAAACATTACGATCCATTAAATGGAGAAGCTGTGTAACGCAGAGTGTTTTAGATGGCCCCTGCTACCTTTTGTACAGCTGGAAAGTATTTGTCTAGCCACTGGGCCACTTGCTTTACGTACCCTTAACTCCACCTGGTGACCTCCAGAGTGCTCAGTAGCCTTCTGTTGCTTCCGAAGGTTTGCACAGTAAGCTCTTCTGGAGCAGATGCACTGGTAAACGCTCGTAACCTCGGGCAATGGAAAGTCACCCCCTTCCCATTTTTCTAAACCATTACACTAGACCATCTGCCCCTGCAGTCTGGAGTAGCTGCTGATTGGATGGATGGAGAGAGGAAGGCTCCAGCAGGAGCAGGACAGCCTAATCCCATTCGCTTCCTAAAAGATACTTCTCCTGAGCCCTGTTGGGTGCTTATAAAAGACCTTGTTTACCTCCCTCCCCATCCACCATCTGGAGCTTGGGAGGACAGTGAGCTGGGCCAACCTGTCAAGGATATTTAAAATGCCATGGAAGGTACACTCCATACAGCCGTTCTCAGTCCTTTTGCCTCCATTTGGAAGAAAGAGGGTTGAGGTAATTCCAGCTCTGTAGATACAAACACTGGAGGGCAGAGAATCAGCTACAAACTACAGGAGTGTCCAAGAAGTGTTCATTGTTGCTTGTATTTTAATTATGATTTAAACTGGCAAGTAGGAAAGCTTGATTTAAATAATGGATTTTAATTTTGTTTTGCATTTGTACTTTTGTTCTTTTCCTTTTACAAAATAATTGATTCTCATTGGTTGGTAACCATTGCAGATCAACGTATTTTAACTTAGTATAACATTAACATTTACGCTTACTTTGGCACACAATGTCTGTTCAAATTCCAGTTGGTTCCTTAACTTTGAATGAACTAGTCATTGAACTGCACTAGCTGAATAAATGGAAAATATTTTCTTCGTACCTGCCAAAGAGGCTACCGCTGTCAAAAACTTCTTTAGCATTTCAGCCAACTGTGGTTCCAGGTGCTTAGCCACCAGTTCAGTCGTATGTCTTTCTTGAAAACTTTGGCAGCAAACTTACTGGTTAAATATTTTTTTATTTAAATGTTTTTAATAAATTATATTAAATTTAGGCCTTCATATAGCTTGTCATAATTTCAATTTTAATTTTAAATAGGTTTATTTTTAAAAGAAAAATGTATTTAATTTAAATAACAAATCAATGTTTAGTTTTTTAAAAAATCGTTTGTCCACCCTGCTTATATTTCATATGTAAATAAGCATGAACGTCTAAAGAATGCTGAACTCGTGAAATAAATGTGAAATAATTGAACAGCATCTTCTGAATGCCAGGGTCTCATGAATATTTTAGGGGATGCCAAATATGTGCTAATGTGAATATATTTTTTTTTTCATGAGAATCATTTTCTGACTGAACACAATTCCGACTGTATCGATTTTATGTGTAGTGGTTTTGGTATTGGATCCTTTCTCTCCCATAGCGAGATGTGAAAATATAACTCTTGCTGTTTGGCTGTCCTGGCAAGTTTTTGTGTTTAATGTTCTGTAGGTGCTTGAAAGCTGGCCTGACTATAGACCCAGTGATTGTTGAGGCTTTCCTAGCCAGTTTGTCTAACCGTCTGTACATCTCACAGGAGAGTGACAAGTAAGTTGTTAGGCATAATACTAATCCTTTTCTGTCTTCAGTCAATTTAACTTAAGACCCACTCCTGTTAAGACATTCAAGCATGAGGAGCCTTTCTCCTGTGTGAAATGCTGCTGACATCAGTAAGAATACATGTGGGAATATGCATCAGATCATGCAGATTTCTTTGTGGGATTGGGCCTTTATTTCAGTACTGATGGGCCTACATACTTTACTGGATAAAAACACTGCTTTCCTGTCTGCAGTGAGTATTAAAGTCTATTTGAAGTACTAACTGAAATGAGGTGGCCTCTGCTAAGTCTTCAGTGGGCTGTACAAGCTCATCACTTAATGTTTGGCACAATTGATTACTGCTTGTGGAGTCTGAATTGCCTCTCTCCTATTGAGAGGTTGGTTTGCCAAGGCAGAGCTAAGAGAGTTGACAAGGCATCTCCAACGGAAACTCCCACTACGTTTACCCCACTGTACTGGGACTGTTTTAAAAAATAAAAATAAAAATGGACAGTCATTCCAGACAAGCCTTTTATCTTTTTCTACTGATTCTACTATAGTGAATGGTTAACAGATCAGTGTTGGTACTATAAAAGCAATTGCTTTTAGTTCCTGTACTAAGTATGCTTTTGATTATAATAGAAGGGAAAAACAGCATTAAGGGGTTAAAATGAAATTAAGTGATATTACAGTTTACTGGATGCATCAGTGTAAGTTGTTTCTCAGGCAGATTGTAGTTCAACTTGTAGAGCTAAATGTGTAATTGTTTCTGGATGTTTATATGAATGTGGCTTGTTTATTTTTTGTTAGGGAAGCCCATTTGATTCCTGACCACACAATTCGAGCTCTGGGGCACATTGCAGTGGCTCTTAGGGACACTCCCAAAGTGATGGAACCTATCCTGCAGATCCTGCAGCAGAAGTTCTGCCAGCCACCATCTCCACTTGACGTACTCATCATTGACCAGCTGGGCTGCTTAGTTATCACTGGAAACGTAAGGAGAGAAGAGCTGGCCAAGAGAACAAACCAGACTAGAGAGACCCCTAAATTACAGTTGTCTATTTCCTTCAGTTAAAGTATTGCTGTCAACTTTGTTTAAGCCCGAAAAATGTTTCCTTAAATGCAGCATTTCAGCATTTATCCTGTCTTCATAACATACACACACTTATACAATCATTTGTTTGCATGTACCTTTTTGTACAATGTCACTAGTAACTAGCAAAGCCACGCCTCTCCAGCAAACCTTAGTTCCCACAGATATATAGTAAAAGAATTTAATGTAGAGGAAGAAATGTGAGGGTAACGCTTACAAAAGCTCCTAAGTGACTTAGGACACCCAGGTCCTATTTAGGCCTGAGGAACCTAAATCCTTTTTGAAAATGGGATTTATGTTCCTAAGTCACTTAGGTCCAGATTTTTAAAGATACTTAGGCATTCTATATAAGATTTTTATTTAGTTGGATAGAATTTATTTTTACAGGTTTATTCCTTTAAGAGATATTGTATTCAATGTACTCCACTTAGTTTGTTTTCTTACAGCAATATATTTACCAGGAGGTATGGAATCTATTCCAGCAAATCAGTGTAAAGGCAAGCTCAGTTGTTTACTCTGCCACTAAAGATCACAAGGATCATGGATACAGGTAACATAGATATAAGTGACTCCTTAGAATTCATGACTATTTAAACCAAACATCTTCCTTTAAGCATGGTTATGCACTTTCACTTTTTTCCGACAGACATAACAGCTTTATTTCTTTCGATCTTTCTTTGTTGTATTCCAGAGGTTTGTTAATGTTAATTGTCCATTTCTGAGAGGGTGGGTGTTTTGAATATATGCAGATCTCATATAGTCTCCTATTCCTGTATTGTTTAAAGTAACACTTTTTAATATTTAAAAATGACGGGTGTGTATGTCTCGCGTCCATTAGTTGGATTTAAGAATGAATAATGTACTTGTGATTTTATTTTTCTCTTGATGAGCTGTTGGCAATTATTTCTTCACAGTGATGCAATGATGCCTTAGCCAAAAGGTGCTAGAAGTTGGCACTGAATAATAATGGAGACTCCTAGATCTTTCAGAAATTGTGTTAGCATCAGGCAGTACCAGCTTCTGTCACAAAAGATTTGTAGCCGTATCAGTCCCAGGACATTAGAGAGACAAGGTGAGTAAGGTAATATCTTTGATTGGACCAACTTCTGTTGGTTAGAGAGGCAAGCTTTTATGTTTACACAGCGCTCTTCTTCAGATGTGGGAAATTTAATCAGAGTGTCACATTCCAAGATGGAACAAATTGTTTAGCATGAGTAGTTACCACATATATCAAAGGACCATTCTAAGGAAAAAGTCAGGATATACACCTTAACACACTGAAAACTGCCTTCACCAAACAAGGACACTCCACCAGAGAAATGGATCACATCATGGAACAGCCACCGAGATACCCTGAGAAAACCTGCTTCAATACAGAAATAACGCCCCCACCCCCACTGCATATCCCTAGTTGTCACCTGCCATCCCATACTTGATGGGGACCCCATCCTGAAAGAAATCTTTTCTGAATCCCCTCTTCTGGCCTTCAAACAATGCTCCAACCTCTCCATGCTCATCGTCAGAAGTAAGCCCCGCACAGACCAGGACACCAGCTCAAAACAACCCCAGACCCTGCCAGAAAAACAGATGCAAAACCTCCAGATATGTCTCCACTGCTACAATGATCAACACCCCCAAACAACACACCTTTCAAGATCCGTGGGTCCTAAAAATGTGTACCACAACATGTGGTATACCTTTCCTGTGCGCTAAATGCCCCAACTGCAACTATGTGAGTGAAACCAGAGAGTCACTATGCTCTCGAATGAACTCACGCAGGAAATTGGTAAGGCAAAATATCATATCGTCTGTGGGGGGAGCACTTTTCACAAAGTGATCACTCTATATTTGACCTATCAGTCTCATCCTCAAAGAAAACCTGTCGAACGCTTTCAAAAGATGAGCCTGGGAGCTTAACTTCATAACACTTTTTTAGACAATAAAATTCAAGGACTGAATAGAGACACTGACTTTATCATTTATTACAAGAATCTGTAATCCACTAACAAATCTCCCATAGCGGCTTCCTCCTTCCTTTCTTCCCTGTAACTGAACAGGTGTGAAGGGGCCACTTCACCTCGAATAGTTCCTTGAAATATATGTTAACTGCTTGTGCTGAACAATCTGTACCATCTTGTATTTAGCTGTGACACTCTGAGTAAATATCCCAGACTGAAGAAGAGCTCTCTCTAAGCTTGAAAGCTTGTAAAAGATATTACCCCTCCCCCTTGTCTCTCTAAAAGATTGATTGGTTGGTAAATTCTAGTTGGTGTCAAAAACTTCTAATGCATTAGCTGTAGTTGCAAGCTATCCTCTTAATAGGCCTGATCCACAGCCCAGTGAAGTCAAAAATTTTCATTGGCTTCATTAGGGTTTAGATTGGGCCCAGTACTCTTAAGAAGTATTGAATTCCTTAAGAATAATTTATCGAAGAATGCTTAATAACTAGGCACTCCATCCAATTCCTATTACAACTAATAGAAAATATTCCAGTGACTTCACTGGGAGTTGAATCAGGCCCTATTTGAGTAAGGTATTGAAGTATAAAACTGCATAGCACAGAATTCCTGCTGTATTCATCATGTCATATGATGAGTTAATTATTTCTTTTAAGTATTCAGGAATGTGAAATGGTCGTTTGTATCAGAGTTATGTTGCATTATAATTTTAACCTTTAAAAAATGCTTGAATTCAATTCTAACGAGGATGAAGGATTAACAATAACTACAAACGAGCTTACTGGTACACCCTCGTTATAAGGCTTTCACTCACTGTCCTGCCCAGTGCACGCCAGTAATTAATTGTAGCTGTTAATTTGAATTTCTCTGCCACCCTACAACTTTTCCAATCCAGAAATGCAATATGTTTCTGCTGGTTTAGGTTTAGGTTTTCCATACCAAAAATGGTCAGTCCTGGTGAATTGATGATGGTGGCAGCACAGACAAAACATTCTCTAGAGACGAAATTGAGACCACCAATTACATTACATTTCATTCTTTACACACCAATGTTGGCGCACATGGTGGAAATTAGTTTATTCCATTCCTCTCTGTCTTTTGGTGCTGCTTCCATCTGCTCTCTGTTGTTGAGACTACTAAATGCATTTTAATTATGATTCAAGCAATATTTAATTGGCTTTTTGAATTGGAACGCTAATGCATTAACCCAGCGTGCCATCCATTCTCACTAAATCCTTGATGTCCAAAATGTGCCCGCCACACTCAGTATTATGCAGATTTGCTGTTGAACAGTGTTAGTGAGAAACCATTATAAAATAAATACAAACCTTTTCATCAAAGAGTTGGTTGTTTCTAATTTCTCTCTTTCTTTCTTGTCAGACACTGTTCCTTAGCTGTCATTAATGCCTTGGCTAACATAGCTGCTAACATTCAGGGAGAACACCTTGTGGATGAATTACTAATGAATTTGCTGGAACTGTTTGTACAGCTTGGACTGGAAGGAAAGAGAGCCAGTGAGAGAGCAAGTGAAAAGGGCCCCGCACTAAAGGTAAGGAATGGTATAAAATGTGTGGGTTTTAATTCAGTACCTCTTTGCACTGATATGGCTAATGTAAACGTATTATTCTGATCTCCTCTGAACCAAGTGTATACACTTAAAAATCGCACATGTAACTACTGAAACAAATGAGAAATGTGTGTTATGGTGCCTATTAATAATATAGAGCCTACATAACTTTTTACATATCAATTAAGCCTCACATAATATCTGTAAGCTTAGGTAATTAGTAGTGGTGTACCCATTTTTCAGATAGGTTAATTGAGACATGGTAGATATTAAGTGAATTGTCCAAGGCACAAAGCAGGCTGGTGACCGAGCTGGAAACAGAAACAGGAAGTCCTGACTTCTAGGCTCCTGCTATTACCACTTCCTAAGAAATAGGGAAGTGTTATAAACTTGCAGTTCTAATCTCAGCTACCCCAGACGTTAATTTATCCTGAATAACTACTATTGTGATTACACGTATGTGGATTTTCCAATATTAGAGTTGATGGAGGCCTACATAACTAAATTTACAATAGACTCCATAAAATGGAACAGTCTGGTGTGAACTACAGATGTAGTGAGATCAGTGCAGATTACCCTGACTGAATAAGCATTAATTGGAATTGGTTGTAAAAGAGGAAACTGACGGACGTTCTCACATGAATGATAGAGAAACCATAATGCTTTTCTGATTAGAAGTGCAATCTCATATGCATTGCAAGTGTAAGAACTGCAAAGCAAAACTGAGCAGTACAAATTCTTACAGCTGGAGATTACATTTAACAAGATATCTGTCCATATCTACAAATCCTTGTGATCATTGTATTCTCGCTAATGTTACGGGAATTTCACTAGTATGTTACCCTACTGTGTGTGGGGCTGCGAGGGGCGGGGGGAGGGAGAGGTAGCAAATCAGTACAGCTGATTTACATTCTGAGAGTGCAAGGTGACACAGGAAAAGAAGTGCTGGACATTGTTGGGAAATCAGAAATGTTAATTGGCTGGTGGTGTCAGTGATCTCTAACAGAAAAGCAGAGTGGGAGTGCTGGTTTTCTTTGGTGTTGGGAAGGAATGTGAAAAAGTTCAGTGACCTGTTTTCCAGGGGCCATTACTTGTATTGCTGATAAATTAAAATGAGAGCTTAATGCTGATGTTATAATCTGGATCTCCAGCTTCCAAGTAAGTGCTCTGTTGTATTTTAAGATCTTGAGGACGCACAAACTATCCATTATCCTCAAACTGGTTAAATTAAATTGGTGCGGACCCCTGTGTGGGCACTCTTTTATTTTGGTTTAAGAGCAGATTGTTTAGGCATAGCTTAAACTTGTTCCTGAGTGATTTAAGCTAAATTACTCCTGGAGGAATTCTGCACCACTGCGCATGCGCAGAATTTATGTCCCCCGCCAATTTCTTTGCTTCCTCACAGAAAAATGACTTTCTGTTGAGGAAGCAAAGGGAAGCCACAAGAGCAGCCATGCGATTCTCCCCCGCAGTATGTTTTGGGTGCCCAGGGCAGCTGGCAGAGAGGTAAATCACTATGTGGCAGGGGACAGGACTGTGGAAAATCTGGCTGATGGCTCCTACCCTGCGCCGGGCTCAGCTGCTAGTCCCAGCTGGGCTGAAGAGGACAGGTTTCCTCTTCCCCTGCACAGCATCCGGGGCCGGGTCAAAACCAGCCCAACGTTTCTCCCCCAAATTCAGGAAGCTCTGCAAACTCCTTTTCCCCTCACCCCCCGCTTCCTGCACCCATCGCTCTTCAGCTGCAGGGGGAGGGATCCCTGTATAGGGAGCTGCTCCCCCATCCGCCCAACCCCTGTGCATCCAGACCCCCTCATACAGAGACCCTCCTGCCAAGCCTCACCCCCTGCCCCTCCCACACACACTCAGAACTCCCCCAAAGAGCCCTACTCCCCCTGCACCTTAGCATCCTGACGAGCCACCTGCACCTGGATCCCCACCCCACTGAGCCCCAACCAGCTGCACCTGGGTCCCCACCCCACTGAGCCCCACTCCCTCTGCTTCTGGACCCCCCCACTGCGCCTCCCACACCCAGACCCCCCTGCTGAGCTCTATTCCTCCAGATACCCAGACCCCCCCTGCAGAGCCCTGACCACCTTCACTTGGACCCCTCTGCATAGTCCCATTACTGTTGCACCCAGAACCCCCCAACAAGCCCCTGTGCATCCCGATCCTGCCCCTGTACCCAGATCTCCCACTGAGCATCCTGCACCCAGATAGCCCCACACTCAGCCCCTCCACACTTGGATCCTGCCTTGCTGAGCCTGCCTGCCCATACTTGGTGCACCTGGCACAGAGGGGCACGGCCCTGGGGTGTTTCTGTGACTGGCCTGGTCCTTGTGCTATATCAGGATTGGGTGCAGCCTCATCACTGAATCAGTGTCCCATTGGGGAGCTGCACAGTGATCTCCAACCTCTGTGCAGCCGGTGGTCCGTGGTCCCTAATGCCATGCTGGAGCCTCCACATTTATTTGACAAATAAAACTTGCAAAATTTTAAAATATTGTGCACAGAATTTATATTTTTTGGTGCAGAATTTTAATCTTTTTGGTGCAGAATGCCCTCAGGAGCAGCTAAATCAAAATAAACCTGGATTAAATTGAAACTAAAGTGTGTACACAGACTTTTGCACTGATCTGAACGAATTGGTTTAAGATCACATCTTAAGTAAACCGCTGCAGGCAGACTGCTTCCAGATCTTTATGATCAGCTGTCTGTATAGTGTAAACTAATCCTTAAAGAAATACATGCAAAGGGTCTAGAAACTCCCATTCACTTCAGTGTGTTCTGGTGGAATGCAAGACTGGGCCTATAATGTATTAAATCTCTGTTATGACATGAAAGGGTTATAGACTATATGTCTGTCCAGCAGCTGACTCTTATTAAATAGCTGCAATATTTTAATTTAGGAGTAGTTCCAAAAAACCTTAAAATATATGTTTGTAAACATACTTATGTAAATTTCAATTTTGTTTGAATACTCTACCATAACAAGATTGTTTTACAATTTCACCTAGTATTTACAGGATAGATTTCCAAAGGTGAGGTGAATACAGTTTACATCACTTATTGCATGTTCCTAAAGTGCTGTGCTCCAGAAAGTTCCACTAAAATCAAACTGACACCACTCAGGATTAGGCACTTAGTGACATATGAATAGTTTTATTGACATGACAGCTAGGTGCTAGTTACAAAGATATCGAGGGAGACCATGTTAACTTATACCTCTAAGTGTGAAAATGAGGAACAATAAATGAGAACAGTGTTTCTCTTCAAATGGGTGGGAGGATATAAAAATATATTACAAGTTGTGAATTTGGTTTGGCTGTGAACTGAATTGCAACACCTTCATTTTGGAGGCGGGGGGAAGGAGGGAGAAATCCTACTTTCGATTATAGACCATCACATTCACTGCTCAAGAATGAAGAGTGAAGTTAATTGAACATTTTGCTTATCGGAGATGAACTAACACTTCACCATTTGTGATTTTATATGGCTATTCCAGACACTCAAACCTCCCAGATGTTGATGTGGAGTGACTTTATAATTATAATTAAAAAAAAAAAAAAGAAAAAATTACTGTGAAAAGTTGAATTTCTTTCCATACCGTGTATGTCTATATTAGTGCCATGTTTGTGGCTAAAATTATACCTAAAGCTGTGCTAGCAATTCAGTAAGAGTTGTTTTTCTCTTTTTAACATCCCCAACACAACACCCGCCCACCTCCCACACACACACTTCAAATTTTAATAGCGCAAAGTTCCTTTCTTTCCCATTTATGGGATTGGTGAACTCTCTTGGCAAATCTCTTTGAAATGAATAGAATCTCTGTTTGCTTTGAAGATAAACTGCATCTGTAACCAGTAAATGCCTTTTATGTCACTGACCAACTCAGTGAAGCTGCTGGGTTATTTGTTTCATAAGGATAAGAGTTTCTAATCTGGGGTGCCAACTCAGCTCCTGTGAGAGAAACCAGATGAATTCACAGTTTGTTTGTTGTTTCAGCAAACCCAACGAATGCCATCATGAAAAATCCTGCCTGTGTTGTCCAGGTTTTTTAGATTCTGGTCTCACAGATAAGTGACTGTGATGCTTATAAATATAACTCTGTTCTAAAACAACACCTTTATACTGGATTTCATCATCCTCATCTACGTGATAACCCAGCAATTTCTGTGTCTCTCCCATGTTCCACCTCTCAGGAACTAATATCTGAGCTGAATTCACACCCTGGCAAATCCACTTTAAGCTTCATCTGTGCTAGAAAACAATGTTCCTTTATTTTAAAAGTAATAAATGGTTTGGGTTCTAGTACAATCTTGACCCCAGTGTTCAGGGAATAATTTGCTCAATATGATTCTCTTAAGACTGTTTCTTCTTACTCTTGAATGTTTTTAAAAATAATTTATACTAAATTGGACCCTGTCCATGCTGGGGTCCAAACTGTGTTGCTGAACCATTTCTATATTTAGGTTTTAAAAGCAGAATTCTCACTTTTTTGATAGCATTGACAGGACTTTAATGTTCTATTATTTGTTAAGTCTCCTGTGCTTTTTAACAGGCTTTTTATTATTCCAGATCTGTTTACCTGACTGTTAAACCACTTTGCATTGATTCTTTTTGCTTAATTAGTTGTCAGCAGATTTTGCAACCAGGCAAAATTTGTTTTTTGTTAGAAAAGGAAATTAACTTGTTAGGATTAAGTTGGTGGACAGTGTTTTCTGTTGGAGTGAGTCCCTTAAATTCCTTATCCTTTACAGATTCATAATCTTGGCTTTAGTTCAAAAGTAAAATCTGATTTCTGCAAATATTTGACAGCTGGCTTTGGGCATGTAGAGTAATAGGAGGCTTTTCAAATTCTGGATGTTTTGGAATACAGATGACAACTGATATGTGTTTCTCCCCCGAACTGAAAGTGTGATCTTTGATTTGCAGTTATGACAGAGCTGTGTCTGTGGAAGAAGGCCCCTCAGTTCATCCATTTGATTAAAAATAGTGTTTTTCTTTCCAACAGTAACACCCTGAGGGGGGAAAGTGTGCATATTGTCAAGTTCTAGATCCTGATCCTGCTGCTGGATCCATGTGGGCAGACTTTTTCCCTGTTTGGAACCCCATTAGGGATTCATGTAGACTTGAGCCCTGTGCTTACGCCTAGCCCACTGGTTTCAGTGGTGCTCAGGTTGGGTGACACAGTGGTTTTGTAGGCTCAGGGCTGTGGTCTGCAATGTATCCGTATTTATGCATATGTACGAGTAGCTAAAGAACATGAGCCATTGGAAGTGAGCTTTGTAGTAAATATTACTTCAGATTGCTGTGTGTTTCTTTGACATTTTCACATCTTTTAAAACCTCTCTTCTTTTTCAGGCCTCCAGTAGTGCAGGGAACCTGGGAGTGCTTATTCCTGTTATTGCTGTGGTGAGTGTTGATAGACGGGGCATTTGTGAGCTGAATGATGATTTCCCCAAAAGCTCAAGTATCTGTGCGGGGGCGGGAAGGGGAGGGGCAGCAGATGGGACTGATAAGTAGCCATGAAAGACAAATACATGTTATAACTTCTTACTTGCTAGAAGTTTAAAAACAAATGGGCATTTGTTTGATGATGACATCTCTCTTAAAGCAGCTAATTTTTTGTTATTCAGCGAGAGGGTCTATTGTTAATCATGAGTTTAAGAGATTCGTGATCCAAATAATACCAGAGGGGATATTATACTGACTAATATTTGGCAGCCAATGTATTAAGAGATATGTAACTGGAAAACAACAGCGCCTGGGGAGAGAACTGAAAAACCAGAGTTATTAAAAAAAAAAAGTTAAAAATAAATTCCAGAAGGCAGCATAAAAGAGAGTCTGTAAAGCAGATTAATTATAATAAAGGAGACAGGAAAGACTCCATATCTTTCGTGGATATTAATTAGCTTTCGTGATATATGCATTTTGTGAAATGTTCACGTGTGCTGAGGTTTGAAGACCATTCTAAACAAAAGTAGCGCAAAATAGGAGTGTGTGTGTATATACAGTTTGCCCTCTTGGACTGAGAGGATTTTCCGAGCCAGAACAACTTCTAAACCTAGTCCAACAAGTAGTCCAGCCAAAGACTGAATTGATTCATGGCGTTTCTAGGTGAACAGCTGCAAACAGCTCAGTTAAGCCATTTTGAAATCTGAGCCTTAATATGCTAATGGCCAGATTCACGGGAGTACCAGAAATGGCTGTGACTGCCTTCCCCTCTCCTGTTGTTGAATTCTCTGGGTTCAGAAAGATTATTTTATACAGCTAGTGAGAAAAAAGGAGATCGTGTCAAATATTTGGAGACCGTCGCTGCTACGACTAGTTGTTGCAGCTCTAACACATTAGGACACATTTTGTTATTGTCCTGGCTTTAGAGTTGCCAACTTTCTCATCACACAAAACCGAAAACCCTTGCCCCACCCCTCTTTCCATGAGGCCCTTCCCCTGCCTTGCCCCTTCTCTGAGGCCCCACCCCCTGCTCTCTCCATCCCCTCTCCCTCCGTCGCTCACTCTCTCCCACCCTCACTCATTTTCACTGGGCTGGGACGGGGTTGGGGTGCAGGGTGGGTGAGGGCTCTGGTTGGGGGTGTGGGCTCTGGGGTTGGGGGGTGGGTGGTTTCAGGCTCCGGGAGGGAGTTTGTGTGCCGGAGGGGACTCTAGGCTGGGGCCGGGGGTTCGGGTGCAGGAGGGGGTTCAGGGTGTGGGATCCTGGTGGCGTTTACCATGGCTCAAAGGAAACAGCCATGAGGTCCCTGCAGCCGCTAAGCACATGGGCAGTCAGAGAGACTCCATGCACTGCCCCCACAGCTCCCACCATCATGGTTCCTGGCAAATGGGAGCTGCGGAGCCGACACAGTCCCTTTTCGACCGGGCGTCTGGCAACCCTACCTGGCTGTACAAACTTCTTGGCTCAGATCTCAAAAAAATAAGAACGTAAAATTAGGCTCCTAAATGAAGTGAGCTGTAGCTCACGAAAGCTCATGCTCAAATAAATTGGTTAGTCTCTAAGGTGCCACAAGTCCTCCTTTTCTTTTTGCGAATACAGACTGACACGGCTGTTACTCTGAAACCTGCTCCTAAATCTGTCTTTCAGCACCCGCCTGACTTTCAAAAGTGCTGAGCACCCAACATCAGCTCCCACTGAATTCATCCATGATTATAAAGGCTAGATCCAGAGGTTACTGGAACATTTACATAAATATCAAAAGGTAGCTTGCTCAAAAATAGCAACTTTTAAATGGACTAATTGTAGTCCTAATTGAGGCCTGTAGTCCAGTGGTGACTGGTGTGTTGCTTTGCCCTTTCAGGTCCTGCTCCATCTCCTATTGAAATCAATGGGAATTTTGGCATTGACTTCAAAGGGAGTAAGATCAGGCCTTTAAAAATGATCTCTTTCATTTGTGACATACTGCAAGGGGCTGTTTTCTGTTTCACATGTTGGTTGATAAAATGCATTTGATTTGAATACTTGATGTATACTGCATTTTTCTTAACCAATGTGACCTTTACAGGGAGTAAAATAAACAGTGTCAGAAGCTGTAGCAAGAGTTAATGGTTACATTATGGGTGCAGAAGCAAATATTTGATTGTCTTGCACAATGCATAAAGATCATGAGTTCTGAGCTGCAGCTACATTTGCTTTTCTGTTTGTCCTCTTTCCCTGGTTACAGGAATTGGTCTTGGCCTCGAAAATAACTTTTAGAACTTTGTTTCCAGCTAATGTAGGCTTTGATAAAGTCATTCTTGATTGCCAAAGGTTTCTTTCAGCTTCTTGATTTGATTATTTTCTTTAATGTGTGTGTGAAGAATAAGATAACCTTCCCATACTTGCATTTATTCTTTAATGTTTTCTGTGGCAAAGCTTTTTAACACTGAAAAAGTATGTGTGCGCAAAAAAGTTTTGAACAAGGAATATGAAGTAGGAATATTGAAAAGGGAAAAGCTATTTATTGAGTTGAATAATTTTTTGATATCAGCTCTTCACCATGTGATTTCCTATACAATAGGTATTTTTCATTTACTTGAATGTTTAAACAGCTTCATTTATGGTTGGGCACAAAATTCAAAATGACACATGCTGTATAAAAGCAAAACAGGATCAACTACAAATTGCATTTTAAAGACTTAATTAAAGACTTGTAAATCCATCAAAGTACTATTGTTTGTTTTTTCTTATGCTACCAGAGAAAATATGCAATGGAAAGTTTAATATTGAAAACATTTAGATTTTGTCTAATATTAGATATTCCCAATAATACAGTAAACTTGTGAGACTACAATATGAATTCTTGAAAAGGGAAGTTTTGAAATGTGAATACATGTGGTGTTAGTACTTATTTGACAGTTGGTAGAAAAAGTGTAAATTTGTTCCTCCTGTCAAATGGTAGCATTTTAGAATGGAAGTATGTTGCATCTACGTGGATGATGAGAATAATTAGACAGTGTTTCTGTTCCTACTATAAAGTCTGAAAAAGTTACCAGTAGTTTATTTTAATCAAGTTTTTCCCACTAAATTTCATTAGATTGAGCCTGAGGTGAGCTTTAGTGCCCCTATTTTCTGCCTAAATGCTTTGTTTATATAAATCTTTTTCTGTAAAGAAATGGAGAAAATAAAACGTGACAGAAAATGTAGCTTTGGGTATTTGAGGATATGGTGTGGGGGAGAGTATTTACCTGTCTACTTCATTTATATAAAATGCCTTTTTGTATATAAGCTGTGTTCTAGATCTTATGCTCCCCACAGATGTGTGTCTATACCTGATAGCTAAATTTGGTGACAGTTTACAGTGGTATAAATTACCCATTTGGACTGACTCTGATTTCACACTACTGGAAATCAGGAGTAACTATTGAAATCATTGGTGTTATGCCAATGTAGAACTAGTATGAAATCAAAACTAAACCTAATGGTATCTTACTTTTCCTAAGTGGTTTTTCCTACAATCCCTCTTTTCTGCCTCATTGGTTTGTAAATTTCATGTTTTATAAACCTGTCGAATGTGAAATCAGTACAAGTTTCTCTACTTCATGATTTATATCTCTATTTAGATTGCTGCTGGATTTGGCTGAGACTTCCCTAGGATCTATGCATCTATGAATTGTGCCAGTTTCCCCTAGGATGAATTTGGCCTAGGAGGTTGATCAGAGGGCAGAATCAGGCTCTGAGGGCAAGATTTTCAAAAATGGGCACCTAAAGTTAAGTCCCTAATTCTATATTTAGGTACCTGGAAAGATAATCTCAGAACTGCAACGTGTTCAGCACTTCCTGAGGCCTGCCTGTTTGTAGGTGTCTAAATACAGATTTAAGAAATTAACTTTAGATATCCACTTTTAAAAATCCTGGTCTAATGTTTTATTTGCTGGTTAAGTTCAATACATTGAATACAACACCGTGTAAGTCATTTAATGAGATTTTTAATACAGATATCAGTGCCTGGCATTAATCTTTATAAATTGCAGTCAAATCATCTACTGCTGTGAGTCCATTCATATATATTCACTGATATATATCCACATGAATGGTCTCATATATATTGCATTTTCCACTGTTAAATGGTGAGTCGTGTAATGACAGTAACCTCTGACTAATGTGATAAGTAAAATCTTCCTTTCAAAAATTGTTATACTAAAATGTAATCCTACAACCTGGATATGAGAGCACTCCTCTGTTTTTAAAACTTGCTGGGGTTGGCGACTCTGCCCAGGAACAGCAGGCAGCTGGTACGATGCTCATAGATGAGAAACAGAAAGGGGCGGTCAACGACGAAGCGAATCTGAGTGGAAAGGGGCATGAACCCTACTGTAGTCACAGCTGCAGCCTCTGTGCCTTCCTCGTTCACAGTAATCGTGCCTTGGTGATTGAACTGTGTAAAAAAAAAAAAAAAAAAAAAAAAAAAAGACAGAAAATGCAGAATCCCTTTGGTTAGACTTTGAAGTCTTAGTATTTTGTCTTAGGTGAATTGCACTAGAATTAATTTGCTGAAAGCATGGGGAACTTTAATTACAACATCACATCTTTTGTATCCTGCATGTGGCTTTCTTGTGTTTTCACTGGTAGCTCCTATATGGCATCAGTCCTCTGGCTTTGGCGAATCCCTTTCCTGACTGGTCATGACCTGACCCCTCCCAGAAATGTATAGTCTACCACCAGTGGTTCTCAACCAAGGGTACGTTTACCCCTGGGGGTACACACAGGTCTTCCAGGGGGTACATCAACTCATCTAGATATTTGTCTAGTTTACTGCAGCCTGCGTAAAAAGCACTATTGAAGTCAGTACAGACTAAAATTTTACACAGACAATGACTTGTTTATACTGCACTATATACTATACACTGAAATGTAAGTACAATATTTATATTCCAATTGATTTTATAATTATATGGTAAAAATGAGAGTGTAAGCATTT